TCTCATTGTATTGTGCTTGGTATCANATTATATCAACAATTATTTACTTCCTTTTTTCATAAAAAAATCGCTCGTGTTTATAAATTTTTAAATTTAACGAACTAATTTATTCAAATTATTGTAGACAAAAATGCAACCATGCGCCACAACCACATGTTTTTCGTGTTTGATAATTCTTGCTGGCAAAATTTTTTCCAGCAAGAATTCGCAACTTCTCTCCAAGAGAACTGTAAATTTGCTCTCACAATTTTTGAGTGTTGGATAATTTTTTGGTCTGCACGAACGCGATTTGGGCAAAAAAATCGCGTACAAATTCGTACAAATATTTTGCTCGACGAACAAACCTAATGTCAAAAAGTATAAACAAACGAATTAACCCTTACTGATGCATATATCTTGTCAGCACTGATACCCAAGGCTTTTATTTTGATTATAGTTTTGTTTTGCTTACTTTACCTGGAATATATATATTTTTTCAATAAAATAAAACAAATTGTTTACAAAATCGTTTTAGCAATTTCCTTGTTTTTAATTGCCCAAGTTTTATGCTTTTGTGCGTTTATTTTTATGTACTTACTTGCTCCCCTCGGCGGTGTATCTCTTAACAATTTCACGATTAAAAAAATTTGTTGCCTGGAAAATTTTTGTGTAACTTTTTTTAAAGAAATTCAAATTTGAAAAAAAAAAATTTCAAATGGGTTAACAATTCATTTCAAGGAACAAATGCAGTTGGTCTCCAAATCTCAAAAAAGAAAAGAAATATTGGAATTGATGAGATGATTGAGCTGAGTATAACGGTACTTATTTTTCGGGCAAACAACAACAACAAAAATTATCAAAAGTTAAAGTTCAAAATAAGCAATTCTTGAAATCAAGATTTCTTAAAAAAGAATGGATGGATCTTGAAAATTTTTCATTGATCTCATTTAATAGGAAATTTGATTTAATTTGGTATACGTACTTTATATATATGTTGTACAGTTCTTACAAAAATTGAATTAGTGTGAAATAATTATAAAAAGAACACCTTTTGCAGAGAACAGCTCTCTGCGTAGGCGGCCTTCGGCCGCACTTAGGGATTATAACCCTCATAAAGTAGAATTCTCTTTCTGTGTTGCGAAGAAAAGGCACTGAACACCTTTTGCAGAGAACACCTTTCTGCGTAGGCGGCGTCGGCCGCACTTACAGGCCAACCTAATATTACCGGCGTGAATTTTTCTACGCACGCACGCAAGTTCTTCACATTTAAGTAACCGAAATAAATTTGCGTGCGTGATTTTTCGGAGTTGCATTTCTGTCCAATTTCAGAAGTTGAGCAAAATTTGAGCATAAATGCAGAATAGCTTCGATTCCCAAATTAAAAAAAAAGTACGGGGATCGATAGAGAACATTGAGGTGAGTATAACGGTATATTTCTTTTCTTGCGGAAACAAAAACTACAAAAGTTATTAAGGGTCAAAGTTCAAATTAAACTATTTTTTAAATAAAAAATTCTGAAAAAGTAATATATGGATTTTAAAAGTTTCCTCCTCCAACGATAGGAAATTTAGTTCCCTTTAATTTGATATACATACTTTATATATGCCTTGTTTAGTTTTCACAAAAATCTAATTAATGTACGCAGAAAGGAATTCCGCTTCCCTTCTGCGGCAACACAGAAAGGAAAATTCTACTTACGGAGGATTATATTTATATCAAATTAAAGGGAATCAAATTTCCTATCAAATGAGTTCAATATTTTTAAAATCCATGCATTCGTTTTCAAAAAATTTGTATTTAAAGAATTGTTTAATTTGATCTTTGAGTCTTAATAACTATTGTAGTCGTTATTTCCTCAAGAAAAGAAATATACCGTTATACTCACCTCAATGATCTCTATCGATCCCCATATGTGTTTTTTAATTTGAGAATCGAAGCTATTCTGCAGTTTTTCCAAAATTTTAATTCATTGTCGCGCCAAAATGTCAATCGAAATGTCACGCAACACAAATCTTGGAATTTGAGTCAGCTTTTTACGCACGCCGGTCAATTTCGGTTGGTCCCATACAAGATGTATATGCATGAGAAATTTTTGACAGTAAACTGCCGGCGTGCGTGAATATTAGGTTGGCCTGTTAGAGATTATAACCCTCACAAAGTAGAACTCTCTTTCTGTTTTGCGAAGAAAAGGCACTGAACACCTTTTGCAGAGAACACCTTTCTGCATTGGCGGTCTTCGGCTGCACTTAGGAATTATAACCCTCACAACGTAGAATTATCTTTCTGTGTTGCGAAGAAAAGGCACTGAACACCTTTTGCAGAGAACACCTTTCTGCGTAGGCGGCGTCGGCCGCACTTAGGGTAAAATAATTTTGTTCACATAAGGGTTGTTTGTAACAGCCAAAACGAATCGAGATAGATATAGACAGATGTATACATAAATGCTCAGAATGAATAGAGAAGTCGATAAAGCCATGTCTGTCTGTCCGTCCGTCTGTCCGTCCGTCCGTGTATACGAGCAAAAATTGAGATATCTCAACGAAATGTGGTTTGTAGGTTTCCCTTTATCCAAGGTAGGTTGGTATTGAAAATGGGCGAAATCGGACTGTAACCACGCCCACTTCCCATATAACGGTAATTTCCAGAAATAAGAAAACTATGATATTTTAGTAACTACTGACGATAATTNGTCTGTCCGTCTGTCCGTCCGTCCGTGTACACGATAACTCGAGCAAAAATTGAGATATCTCAACGAAATTTGGTATGTAGGTTTCCCTTTATCCAAGGTAGGTTGGTATTGAAAATGGGCGAAATCGGACTGTAACCACGCCCACTTCCCATATAACGGTAATTTCCAGAAATAAGAAAACTATGATATTTTAGTAACTACTGACGATAATTCACTAAAAATTTATATTTACAATAATTTTCAGACGAAAAATAAGAATATTATAAATTTTTGGAAAATGGGCGTAGCCACACCCACTTATGGTTACATGTGTATATCTTGGTAACCGCTGCACCAATTTCTTCCAAACTTGGCACAGTAATTGGCCTTGGTATAGTGTTCCAAATGGCCGAAAATTTTTTAAATCGGACAAGAACCACGCCCACATCCCATATAACGGTAATTTAGAGAAATACAAATACAAAACAAAATAAATCAGTAAATATCAAAGCTAATTTATTCAAAATTGATGGTTGCAACAATTCTTTACCAGGAAATACGTTTTTGATACAATTTTGGAAAATGGGCGTGGCACCGCCCACTTATGATCACATATATGTATCTTGGTAACCGTTCTACCAATTTGTACCAAACTCGGTAGAGTCCTTGTCCTTGCCACATAAGAACAAAATTTTTAAAATTATTGAAATCGGACTAAAATTACGGCCGCTTTTCATATAACGGTAAATTTCAGAAATGTTTGGAACTTCAATATTTCGAAATTTTAGGACGCTAATTTACTCAAAATTGATACAACCCGGCTTACCATGTAGCGGTAGCCTTCGGAATGGTGAAAAAACATTTATTTAATACTTGCGCCGGGTATTTAAGGCTCGGCTCCGCTTCGAACTTAGACTTCCTTAATTGTTTTTTTATAATTATTTTACATTAACTCAATTTTTGTAAGAACTATACCACATATATATAAAGTGCGTATTCCAAATTAAAGGGAATCAAATTTCCTATCAAATGAGATCAAAATCCATTCATTCGTTTTTGAGAAATCTTGATTTCAAAAATTGCTTATTTTGAACTTTAACCTTTGATAATTGTTAGTCACCCCGTTCCTAAATAAACTTAGCGACATATCGGGTGGCAACATTGTTTTGTGCCATATATCTACTAACAGATGAATTTCGGGTGAATGCTGAACGGATCGCTAAGTCAAGCAGACGTACCAAGAATACAGTCAAGAAACAAGACAAACACATAAAAAGAGTTCAGCATCGCCGCGCGACAAATATATTGTACCTTATTTTAAATGCTTTATTGTAATGTTTAATCTTTAATTGCGGAAAATGAACAGTTTTTCTTAAATTCGCGCAAAATAGTTTTGTTCGATACAAGAGTTTTCTTGATTTTGGTACGTACTGCTTGACACACATACACACCAGTATTGGCACGAATAGCGGCCCGCCGTTATTGGAATATATTTTCTCGGTTACGGTAAATTATATGTCTGAGCCAAACCGCTATAACTTGAGGAAAAGACCAAGGACTGAAATTGAAGGTACCTGGAGGACGAGATGCCAGGGCATGCAGCTCAAGCGAACGGGATGGTGGCGGCGTTGAACGCGTTAAAGGCTTCAGTGGAGGAGCTTCGTCGGAGTACAGCAGAAAGTCAGAAAGAAATTGCGCGACTTCGAGAAGAAATCCAGCCGGCAGAAGGCTTACAAGAACATAATGCAGTATTGCAGACAGCGCAAGGTGAGTCAAGCCAAATTATAGAAAGTGACCAAACTGCCGCGTCAGTAAGTGACTCACATGCGAAGCTGTATGACCTTCCAAACTTTACTGGGGACCTCGAAGAGTGGCCGTTGTTTGTTGCTATTTTTAAGGATACGACTGAAATTTATAAATATAGTCAGAATTTAATTAGGCTACAGAAATGTTTGGTTGGTCCGGCAAGGGAAGCCGTGGCATCTTTACTAATATTTCCCAATGACGTTCCCAAATAAATGAATTAGAGTTTAGGGTTGGCAGGCCAGATGTACTGGTGAAAGCTCAGTTAGGTAAAGTGCAACAGTTTCCAGTTATCGTTGAGCACAAGCTCGACCTAGTTATTCAGTTTTTAACTCGAGTTCGTAACGTAGTCGCCTTTTTAAAGTCAGCCAATTGTCAGCAGCATTTAGCTAATACCACATTGCTAGAGCAAATGGTATCAAAATTACCGCACCAAAAACAGTTTGATTGGGCGAAATACGCAGCAGCCATTAAGGCATACCCAACTGTAGAACATTTTTCGACGTGACTTAGCGAGCTGGCTGGAATAGTATGTTTATTGCCGACAACAAGTGCACAGTAAACAAAAAGCAATGCTCTGTCAGCGAACCCTCGTCGCATAATGCACATAGACCGCGCAAAAGATACGCTGAAACACTTTTGAACATTCGTCTGTTGATGTCATTTGCGTATCAGAAACATGGTTTCATGCAGATATTCCGGATCATTACTACTCCATTCCCAATTACAAACTTCTTCGAAATGATCGTTTGGGTAGAAAAGGTGGTGGGGTAGCCATATATTGTAGGAGCTACTTAAATGTTATGATCGTGAGCCATTCATCTGAGAGTGAAATTGAGTATTTGTCTGTCGTTCTGTCTGATACTAATACCAAAGTGCTGGTGTCTTGTGTCTATAATTACAAGAAGAATATTTGTTATCAGCCTTTTTTCGATCACCTTTCTGAACTTCTTATTGATTACGATCATTATATCATATGAGGTGATTTTAATATAAATTTGCTTGTTTGTGACCCTTCTTCGACTCATTTTCTTGACTCTGTTGCACTTACTGGTATGTCCGTTGTTAACACTTATGTATATGCCCACAAGGTTCTCTTGTAATGTCCGTCCTAGTTTACTTGATGTTTTTATTGCTCCTCCTGTCCTTCGTCTCAGATCACGACTTAATTTTTTGTACGTTCGACCTTAAATTAACATATAATTATCATGCATCGCAGGCTTTTTGCTATCGCGACTATAATGCCATTCGACTTGACGCTCTGTTTTGTAATCTGGACCAATTTCAGTGGAACTACTGTTGGAAATTAGAAACTACTGACGATAAACTTAACTTTTTAACACATAATATTCTTTCATTTTTTAACAAGCATGTACCCTTTCGTCAAGTCAATTCCAAGTCTTTTTCTTGCCCCTGGTTTACACATAAAGTTAAGTTGGCGATTAAAAATCGCAATGCGTTATATACTGCATGGAAAAGGAGGCCAACTGACAGTGTTGCCAGAACTTTTTGGGCGAACCGGCTAAATTGGCAAATAAAACCGGCTAAAAACGGCTAAAATGTTTCAACTAAATTTCACATGTTTTATTTAAATAAATCACGAGTAAAAAGACTATTTCTTGGAGAGAAGTTACAAATTCGAGCCGGAAAAAATTTTGCCAGCAAGAATTTGCAATTAGGATAAACATATGATTGTGGCGCATGGTTGGATTTTTTGTCGACGATAATTTGAATAAACAAGTTCGTTAAATTTAAAAATTNACACAAAAGAACTGGTCAGATTTTTCAGAAATCCCTTCAATTCTGATGTAAAATATGATGCCAAAAGACTGCATTTAGATGACCGGTCATATGACCGGCAGATGTCTCGTAGGATTCCCAGAGAGTTTTGCTTTACATAGAAATTTGTGCTCTTTTATTTTCATTTTGACTCACTTTAGTGTTGGTTCCTTTAATTCAAGTTGGCATTCGGTTTTTGGAATTTAAATAAGTTCTCAGCAAAAAAGTTTGTTTAAAAAAATACATATGTGTATATAGCGCTTGAAAATATCAATTTTTCCCTTACCTTAAACCTTTGGGAGTGGGCAAAAATGATGTTTTGTAATTTAGGCAGAATTGAATATGCGCTATCTGGGAAGACAATGGCCCGTAGTCATAGTCAAAATAAAGTCGACTTTAAAGTTAGTTACAGCTTTTTTGACAGATATCCCATTGAAAATTATGTCAAAAAGCTGCAACTAACTCTAAAGTCGACTTTATTTTGACTATGACTACGGGCCAATAGGTGTGTACACGTACGCCTAACTATCTAAAGTTTTAGAAAACTTTTACTGGTTTTGCGTTCTCGTACCCCAAAAACTTGCAAAGTAGGGGAAATGAGAGAGCAAAATGTGAAAGAGAGCTGCAAATTTCTGCTGGAAAAATTTTTCCCAGCGAAAACTTGGAAGTAAGAAAATCAGCTGATCACAAACAGATGTTTGTAAATAAACAAAAGAAAATATGGCCTTTTTCAGTTATTTATTGCTAATATATAACTAAAAAGTGCGTAAATTTAATAAGCACAACGTTTGTTGTATTTATTTTTCCTTAATTTGCTATTAATCTCCAGTTTGTTTACTTTAGTGCGTGCTGACTATGGTTGCCGTATGACATTTTTCGTTTATACCATAAATTTCCTTTAAATATACCAAAATAGATTTAAATGCAACATGCTGAAATGTTGTTTAGCTGAAGTTTTCGGTTTTGGAAGGTTGTTTGTTGAAATGAAAATTTTATAATTTTAAACCTACTCTATTACATTATTTTGGATCAAAGATGGGTGTTTGGAGGAGATACTCTTGTTTTTAATGCGTCACTATGTGATATCAGAAATAATTATGAGAAAAATAACTTATTCATTCCGATATAATTAATTCGTATTTTAAAAAGGGTTTTCTTAACGAAAACTATTGAATTGTATAAAATGCCAAATCGGGGAAAATGCACCAAGCAGAAAATAAATTGCCAAATTAATCACCAGTGGCAACTGTGCAAGTGATCAGCTGTTTCGAAGGCTGCACGTTTTTGCAAATTTTGCGTTCTCGTACTTCTGATGATATTTCGTCTCTTTGAGAGCGAATGCTGCTAAATTCTCAGAACTTTTTCTGCTGGAGAATTTTGTCCTCTCAATACGAGTACACACCTAATATCTACATGTAATATTTATTCTGTTTGTTGGCACTATATCCAATCTTAAGAGACTTAACAGTGCAACAATTTCTTATTTTCTAAGTTTGCGAATAAATCTTCACACTTAAAATTAAGACATTTATAACAAACAATTTATGGAGAAAACTCCTTCTTCGTTTAAAATAAAAATAAGCGAAATCGTCCCAATTTCATAAAATCCTGCCTGACATGAAAATTTTTTCCACGATAAGGTTAGTAGCCATTTCTAACAGATTTTGGGTCGCTTAGTCAAAAATGGAAACATATATACATTTTTGAAATTTAAGAAAACAAGGCAAATAGCAAAATCGGCTAAAAACGGCTAATTTTTTTCTGCAAAACGGCTAACAAATCGGCTGCCGGCTAAATTGAAATTTCTCCGGCTGTTTGCTATCGCAACCGGCTAAATCTAGCCGGAAAATGGCTAAAATGGCAACACTGCCAACTGATGCGAATTGGGATGCGTATAAGCGTGCTCGGAATAAAGCCACCTACACCGTTCAAATTGCCAAAAAAAGCAGTTTTACACTAGAAAGTTAAACACTCGCGTTGCCCCCCAAACAGTTGTGGTCGAATTTAAAACGGATGGGTGTGACTTCCAGCTCTAACACGTCGTGCTCTCTTGATGCTAATGAGCTTAATGAGTTTTTCACGTCCCATAATATCTCTCCAGTTTCAGGTAGCTTCATTCCGAATGTCACCCCCCTAATTTCCTCCCATCATCAAGGTTTCAGTTCATCGCTGTGCGAGAGGATGAAGTGGCTAAATGTATTTTCCGAATAAAATCTAATGCCATCGGTACCGACAATATTCCAATTAAATTTGTCAAATTAATATTACCATATATACTAAGTAGCCTTACACATCTAGTAAACCACTGCTTCACTACCTCTTCGTTTCCCAATGCATGGAAGCTGGCAGCTGTGACTCCCGTACCCAAAAAACCCGGCGCCACCCTGCTTATAGATTTCCGGCCTATAAGTATTCTGCCCGGATTATCTAAGGTCCTTGAAATGCTTATGGCACATCCAATAACACAGTTTATCGAAGAGAATAATCTTCTCAACCCGCTCCAATCTGGCTTCAGGGCTGGCCACTCATGCTCAACCGCTGTTACCAAAGTCTTGGATGATGTTCGTCAGCAGTTTGATCAGGGTCACCTTACCCTACTGTGTCTCCTAGACTTCTCTAAAGCATTTGACTCTGTCAACCATATCTTGTTGTGTGAGAAACTTAGACACAAGTTTAGCTTTGGGGATTTAGCAGTGCGATTTCTTAGTAGCTACTTAAGTAATAGAATGCAAAAAGTTAAAGTTGATAACATTTTCTCTGATCTTCTGCACATTCACTCGGGCGTTCCACAGGGTTCCATACTTGGCCCTCTTCTCTTTAGCATGTTTATAAATGATATTTTCAATGCATGCTCACACGCCCGTTTACATGCTTACGCTGACGATGTTCAGCTTTATCTCTCTGATCGCACTAGCATGGTTCATGAAATCGCGCTTCAACTAAATTATGATTTGCATTCTATTCTTAAGTGGTCAAATGAAAACCTGCTAGGAAATCCTATGTGCTTCCAATATGCAAGGATAAGATCCAGCCCTCTGAGGTCCCTCACCTATATCTTGGTGCTGATATTCCTCAATTAGTTGATAAAGTAAAAAATCTTGGCTTCATAGTAAATTCTAGACTGACTTGTGAGGATCACATAAATGATGTAGTTAAAAAAATTTACTATACACTGCGGTGTCTCCGAGCTACCTCTGCTTTTACACCCCAAGACACTAAGAAAAAAATAGTAATTAGTCTAATTGCTTCCCTCGTTACTTATTCTGATGTAGTGTATAGTGAACTTGACTCTCAATCATTTCAAAAACTTAATGTTGCTTTTAGTTTTGCCACCAGATATGTACATGGGTTAAAGAAATTTGATCATTTAAATACCCTCAGAAACTCGATATTGGGATGCGACCTAAGAAATTTCTTAAAAGCTCGAAATTGCATTTTTATGTTCAAACTGATTATGTTTAAGAAACCGGAATGCCTGTATGTATNTAAAGCATTTGACTCTGTCAACCATATCTTGTTGTGTGAGAAACTTAGACACAAGTTTAGCTTTGGGGATTTAGCAGTGCGATTTCTTAGTAGCTACTTAAGTAATAGAATGCAAAAAGTTAAAGTTGATAACATTTTCTCTGATCTTCTGCACATTCACTCGGGCGTTCCACAGGGTTCCATACTTGGCCCTCTTCTCTTTAGCATGTTTATAAATGATATTTTCAATGCATGCTCACACGCCCGTTTACATGCTTACGCTGACGATGTTCAGCTTTATCTCTCTGATCGCACTAGCATGGTTCATGAAATCGCGCTTCAACTAAATTATGATTTGCATTCTATTCTTAAGTGGTCAAATGAAAACCTGCTAGGAAATCCTATGTGCTTCCAATATGCAAGGATAAGATCCAGCCCTCTGAGGTCCCTCACCTATATCTTGGTGCTGATATTCCTCAATTAGTTGATAAAGTAAAAAATCTTGGCTTCATAGTAAATTCTAGACTGACTTGTGAGGATCACATAAATGATGTAGTTAAAAAAATTTACTATACACTGCGGTGTCTCCGAGCTACCTCTGCTTTTACACCCCAAGACACTAAGAAAAAAATAGTAATTAGTCTAATTGCTTCCCTCGTTACTTATTCTGATGTAGTGTATAGTGAACTTGACTCTCAATCATTTCAAAAACTTAATGTTGCTTTTAGTTTTGCCACCAGATATGTACATGGGTTAAAGAAATTTGATCATTTAAATACCCTCAGAAACTCGATATTGGGATGCGACCTAAGAAATTTCTTAAAAGCTCGAAATTGCATTTTTATGTTCAAACTGATTATGTTTAAGAAACCGGAATGCCTGTATGTATGTTTTATTTTACCGAAATATAATTATCTTAACACGTCGAGATTATTTTTTGTTAATTCTGTAAAACTTTGGAACTCTCTGCCAGCATCTTTGAATAACTCTTAACGTAAGCACAACTTCAAAGGTCTTATCAACGATTATTTTTCTAATAAAACAACTTAAATGGTTATAAATTTTCTATGTTGGTTATTGTTATAGCTCTGTATAATTATAAGTATTATAAAATGTGTTAATTCCTTGTTATATCTTCTTGTTTTCCTATATTTAATGTTCTTATCCTCTTTATTTCTTATTGTGCAATAAAAGATTTAATCTTAATGTACTAATACGATATCAAATAAATTGAACTTGAAATAAATTGAAATGTTACAAATGCAGCGGAAACCACACCATTTCACAGTGTGAAGCATTCAAGACGTTATGGGTTCAAGAACGGTGGGAGTTAGTAAAAGCGGATCAGCTAAGCTTCTCATGTTTGCGTAAGGGTCATTGCACACTTAAATGTCACTCGAAGAGACGATGCAGCGTAAATGGTTGTCAACGCTATCACAGTCAGTTACTCCATAGCGGGGTGCCAGCATCGCAAGCACTGTGCCAGGTCAGTACATCGAACGTCCCCGCTCAACCCCTTTTAATTTGTTTAGCAAACTACACGAACCAGCAATTATTTAAAATGTTGCCCGTCAATATTTACGGACCCGACGGGAAGCGGGAAATAATTGTCATGTTCGATGAAGGCTCGTCTATCTCGATCATGGAAGAAAGGCTTGCGAAAATGATCGGAGCTAAAGGGGTGTTACACCCGCTTACATTACAATGGTACGACAATAAGGTGGTGACTGAAAAATCATATGAAATCAACATCGAAGTGCGTAATTGCGCCAGTAACGAAAGGTTTGCGCTTAGAGACGTATATACAGTAAACAACTTGAATTTGCCAGAGCAGTCTCTAAGCAAAGAAGATTTTGGTCATTTAAGAAATCCGCCACTTATGAATTATCACGAGTCGAAGCCAGGTTTACTCATTGGTTTAACACACGCATATCTGAGTGCTACTACTACTAATGTTAAAGCTGATAATGAGAGTCCCCTGGCCGCCAAAACGCCTTTAGGTTGGGTCGCGTATGGCCCAACAAAATCGCCTTCAAATTCCAATCCTCGAGTTATGCTGGTCAAAGATTGTCAACAACTGCACACTTTGGTGTCTGAATATTTTGCGTCCGACAGTTTTGGCACTAATGTGTCTTCGGTGAATCTGGAGTCAGAAGACGAGCATGCACGTTTGATTTTAGACACGACAACCAAGCGAGTGGGTAAGCATTATGAGACTGGTTTATTGTGGAAAACATTTCCACCTAAGCTGCCCCATAGCAAAATAATGGCAGAAAAGCGTCTGTTGTCAGTGGAGAGATGAAAAATGGTGTTGAATAATCTGTGCGATATAAGCGGGAAATGGACAAGTACGTAAACAATGGATATGCCAGAAAACTGAGTGATACCGAAGTCAACGCGCCATACCAGCATGTGTGGTATTTACCGCACTTTGCAGTCCACAATCCACATAAACCTGAAAAGTTGCGAGTTGTTTTTGACGCGGCCGCCGCAGTAAATGATGTATCACTCAATACAGCCCTTTTGAAAGGACCAGAGCAGGCCCAACCGTTGGTACGAATACTTCCACAATTTCGACAAGGAAAAGTCGGTGTCGCAGCTGACATACGCGAAATGTTTTCTCAAATTAAAATACGACAAATCGATCAGCATGCACAACGTTATTTGTGGCGGAATGCAGATACTAGCAAACCCATCGAGGAGTACGTAATGACGTCATTGATTTTTGGGGCGGTGTGCTCGCTTTGCATTGCCGAATACATTAAAAACAAAAATGCCAAGGAGTTTCAAGATCGCTTTCCTGATGCCGCAGCAATCATAGTAAACAAGCACTATGTTGACGACCTAGTGGTTAGCGTTGGCAATACAGAACAAGCCATCAAGACCAGTCGCGAAATGATGGAAATCAATCTGGAAGCGGGGTTCGAACTACGCAATTTTATATCCAATTGCTCGGAAGTAGAAGAAGAAATGAACAAATTATCGCCATCTATTCGTGCAGCAGTCAGCATGGAACGCAATTCGGTAGCAGATAAGGTACTCGGCTTATATTGGAACATAAACGAAGACACCTTCGAGTTTCACACGAAATTTCATCGTGTGCCGGAAGAGGTACTCAACGGGACGTGAGCGCCAACGAAGCGGGAGCTGTTAAAAATCACCATGGCCGTGTTTGACCCTTTCGGTATGTTGGCAGATTTTCTCATATTTACTAAACTTTTAATTCAGGATGCGTGGAGGCGTGAAATCGGATGGGACGAGGTATTGTCGGTGGGACTTAGCAACAAATGGCTTCCTTGGTGTCAAGAGTTTTTCCACGTCAAACGATTTAAAATGCCACGATGTTACTCGCCGCACATCTCCGAAGATATCGCTGAGATACATATTTTTGTTGATGCAAGCCAGATTGCATTCGCAGCTGTTGGGTATGTTCGCGTAATTTGCAGAGGTACGGCTAAGGTTAGCTTCGTCATGGGCAAAACGCGAACGGCACCCATTAAACTGATGTCAGTCCCGAGGCTTGAGCTACAGGCAGCGGTGTTAGGCACTCGGCTATACAAACTCGTTCGCGACTGCCACGAGTAACCTTCTGGAGCGACTCGCAAACCGTCCTGCAATGGGTATACTCATCACAAAGGAAATACAAGGCATATGTTGGTCACCGAATCGCTGAAATTCTCAGTGCAACATCTCCAGAATAGTGGCGATGGATACCTACTTTGCAAAATTCCGCAGATGCCGCGACGCGCCCATCTAGTCCTTCAAAGTTTGACAACAATAGCCGATGGATAAAGGGTCCGGAGTTTTTAAAACACGACGAACAGCAGTGACCCGCCATGACAATAAAGCCACCATCCGTCTTGCCAGAAGAAGTCAAGTCCGATCGCTTACTACATGCTCAGCCGAGAGAACCATTTATTGAGTTTACCAGATTCAGCTCGTATTCGAAGTTACAACGAACTATAGCTTGGGTGATCCGAGCGACCAGTCGATTTCGAGCGCAACGAATTACGGCGGGAGTACGTCGACCCCCGCATCTTACGATGGCAGACGTGACAATATGTAGATTGGTGCGGATGAAATTGCGAATTTGGCAGCTTCGCGTAAACTGGCGAAACAGAGTACGTTGTATAAGCTCTCCCCGTACCTGGACCAAAGTGGTATATTGCGGTTAAGCGGTCGCATCGACGCAGCAGAATATTTGCCTCTGGCAGCACGACGCCCCATTTTGCTGCCACGAAAACACGTTGCAGCTCTAATCGTACGCCATTACCACGAGAAGAATCATCACCAAAATTTCGCAATAACTATCAATGCTGTGAGACAAAAATATTGGCTCCCGCATTTGAAGGCACTTCTCAGAGGCATACAAAGAAAATACCTTGCTTGTACGATCGACAAAGCCAAACCGGATCCGCCATTGATGGGTCAACTACCTAGCGACAGCGTCACTCCATTTGTACGCCCATTCTCTTATACTGGCGTCGATCTATTCGGCCCACTCAACGTCTCCATCGGTAGACGTCGTGAAAAGAGGTGGGGCGTAATTTTCACCTGCCTGACCGTCCGAGCCGCGCACATCGAGCTATCCGAGAACTTATCAACTGACGCGTTCATCTTGTGCCTGCGAAACTTTATTAATCGCCGGGGCACACCAGTGAGAATACGTAGCGATAATGGCACCAATTTTATCGGCACACAAAAGGAGCTACAAGCTGCTGAACATCTGCTAGATGCAGATCGTATACAAACTGAGGCCATGAAATACAAAACAGAGTGGATTTTCAATTGCCCAGCGAATCCTAGTGCAGGCGGCTGCTGGGACCGCCTAATAAGAATCATTAAAACGTTTTTAAACAGGACACTCCGAGAAGTTGCGCCAAAGGTAGACACGCTACAAAGTGTTCTCATTGAAGCAGAGAATATCATCAACTCACGCCCTTTAACCGACGTGCCAGTCTCAAGCGAGGAAGATGAACCAATAACGCCGAACCATTTTTTAATAGGTTGTGTCAACTCAACGCAGACGCCCCATCCTGTCGACGAGAAGATATGCTTGCGGAAACAGCGGAGGATTTCCCAGAATCTGAAAGATCGTCTGTGGAAGCGTTGGACGACGGAATACTTACCACAACTGTCGTGCCGTACAAAGTGGCAGAAAGAGGTTCCTCCTCTGCAAGTTGATGATTTGGTTATGTTGTGCGAACCAACGTTACCCCGCAGGCAATGGCAAAGAGGACGTATTACGCGAGTATTTACTGTGGCTCTTACGCAGACCAGCATCCCGCCTTGCCAGGCTTATGATTGAGGGTGAATCCCAGGAGATTCACGGGGGGCGGGGTGTTAGTCACCCTGTTCCTAAATAAACTTAGCGACATATCGGGTGGCAACATTGTTTTGTGCCATATATCTACTAACAGATGAATTTCGGGTGAATGCTGAACGGATCGCCAAGTCAACCAGACGTACCAAGAACACAATGAAGAAACAAGACAAACACATATAAAAGGAGTTCAGCATCGCCGCGCGACAAATATATTGTACCTTATTTTAAACGCTTTATTGTAATGTTTAATATTTAACACAGATATGCCGACGAGCTTGCTAGAGCAACAATCCTCTTAGTTTCCTTAACTTAAGTTAAGCTGACACAAAGTAGTGCAAAACTGAAGAGATTAAAAATATATACATTCTATCGCGAGTTTATAGGCCGTACTACATGTAGTACGCTCGGCACATATGTATGCATGTACTTAAGTAAAAAATACATATTTCTTGCAATTTTATTCAAATCATTTATTATCCAGAAACTTTCGTGTACTTCAGTAAAGGGAAAAAAATAATACTAAACAATTATTTGGTGGTGTGGTACTCCACATTACACTTTACATGAAGCGGCACATCACATTTAATGCAGTGTGTAGTGGTCTTTTTATGGCAATGATTGCAACGTAGCTGTTTACATTTTCCCTCTTCCTGACGGTTGATTTCAGTAAGCAAATGATCCTTTCGATCAAATCTGATGTCCCGTGATGATCCTGACGGAAGCGTTGCTAAGGATTTTCCATAAGTTGATATTATCGATGTGGAAATGCGCCGAGGAAAAGCTAGATGGTCCATTTTACCTCCCATATCTCGTATGTATTTGCCAGGCATTGTGCTCTGCAAGATCAATGCAGTGTGTAAATAAAAGGAAATACAACTTTTTGCCACGAATAGAGACACGGTACAAGCTGATATTTTCATCTGCTCGATCGACGCCCCCATATATCGATTATATTCATGAATAAGACGTGGTTGTTGAATGCTTACACGCTTTTTCTCCTTCCGGGACCAACGTGAAATATTTTTTGAAGGTACAACTGGATGGATGCTTGAGGCGACGTTAATTGCATTGCTGTCGTTTCAACAACAGACAATAATATTGTTGGTACGAATTTTACTGTAGTCATACTACCCCCCTTCTTTCTTTCGCAGATCATGTTTCTTTGGTAAGGGACAGTTGGCTAATCGATTGTGGCGAATGGTTCTAGTCCCTTTAACATTCCGTTTTTCTAACTCGACCAATAAACCAATTGTGGTAAACAAATTATCGAAGTACAATCGGTGGGTAATGTCGGGTTGTTTTTGGGATAGAATGTCGCAATATGTTAAGACTACGCTTGCACCAAGTCCCATTTCCTTGTAGGTATTATTGGGGAAGGTCCCTGCACCTTGATATGCCTCGAACCAAAGAATGTAGCCCTTATAAGTTGCTCCAATCCCAAATTTATAGCCATATCTGATAGGGTTTCCTTGGATATATTGTTTACATCCGTGGCCGCCAAAATACGGAACCATCTGCTCCTCAACGGAATGCTGTATTGTTCTTGGAGCATTATTTTGGAAGCTTTCGTTCAATTTTTGTAGAAGTAGTCTAACCTTTGCAAATTTGTCCATCTTATCCAGATTTTTGTAATCCACAAAGTGCAAATTTCTTATTATAAACTCAAATCGATCCCTTCACATCGAATTCCATACAAAGGAATGATGAGTATCCCTATCATTTTGCCAATACATACGGCGCCGAGCGACAATATTGTAGCCACTTAGAAGTAAAATTCCAATAAAGCACCTGATTTCATCCGGGGTTATATTTCCTATTGCATTATGCTTTAACGCATAGTCATTGGAGTTTTCAGTAATGAGTTGCAGAAGGTCAGCAGAAAAAAAATTTTCAAACAAATCGAGGGGTGTTGGTAAATTTTCCTGTTCAGATTCCGTTACAGTGCCTTCCGTTTCAATTAGATCGTGCCTTATCCATTTCACTGACGACATATCGAATTTGCGTTTCTTCGCCGGTGGCAGTAACGCAAGTGGAATATCGTCTTCACTGTCAGAATCAGAAGAATAAGCATTTCGAAATAGCTCAGCCTCGCCATTTAATAATAAGGGAGGTAAATTGTCAAAATTCACTTCTTCATCGTCTCCACTATCTTCATCTGTTACATAGTTATTAGCAGGGAACGGATTTTATGGAAATTGCCTTTTTTTCTGCTAAAGAGGTAGAGTATATTCGATTAAGAATGTCCACGATTTAGCTTTCCCTGATTCCATATATACACATTTGATGTTTGCCTTTTTTTGCCTTTTTTAAGATATTTGCCTTTTTTAAGATATTTGCCTTTTTTTGCCTTTTCTACCTTTAAAAAAGGTATTATAGCATTTACATTTTTTTTTTAAGATTAAAAAATATACACATGCCCTTGCGGCTTATAGAAGCGCAGGGACCTCTTGCCAAATTGGTGTTGAAAAAATTTAAAGCCGTTTTCTCAGCTAACGTAGGCTTGGAGACAATAAGGGGTGTGGGTAAAATTGTAAAGGGCGAGGAAAACGCCCTTATTCCTGATAATATGAACGTTCCAAACGTTCCATATTTAAATTGGGCTCCACTTGTATCAACTTACGCCGAGCGCACATTTAGTACATTCAAGGCTTTTCTTCGCGAAAATCGAATGAAAATGCTGCCAGAAAAATTCAAAATGCACCTTGTGGTTCAATGTTACTACAACTATAGAGATAAAAGTTGTGTGAGTTAAAAACTCGAAAGGAGAAAATAGTCAAAGATTCAAAGTACAAATTTTTCATATAATGAAACTAGTTCATAGTTTTTCTCTTTTTACTTGTAATATAAACATTTCTAAAATAAATATATTTTTTGATTGTTCTTCGTATTTTCTGTATTTTTTTAGTGCCTTATTTTCTTTTTTTGCAATACCTTTTTTTGTTACCTTTTCCTGCCTTTTTCGCTATTTTATTTTGCCTTTTCCAGCCTATTTCGTTACTTTATTTTGCATTTTTTATAGGTTTTTAGGTCCTCAAAATCCGTTCCCTGGTTATTAGCGTCATCACTTCGTCACTTTCTTCTAAGGCAGATATTATCTCATTTAATGTTAAATTGCTGCAAAAAAAAAATTTTTTAACATATTTTTCACTATGTAAATGCCGAACGTACTACATGTAGTACGCCAGTAAATACGCCAATTAAAATCACATATAATTTGCTTTTTCACATGTACTTTAGATGCAGTCACGTTTTTACAACTATTTTTTAATAAAAAAACACAAAAATGCAACAACAATAAAAATGCTTATACAATTTCTCCTTACTGACCACGTGACATCTTCACACTTTTGCTAACTTCACACAACTGATATATAGGGATGTTCCGATACAAGTAAATACGAGTACGTACGAGTACGTACTCGATACTTTTGTTTCGATACCAACTACTTTTTTTACTCGAATCGTTGTATCGATTCGTACTTGGTATCGAAAGAAAAGTACTTGGATCGAATCGATTTGAGCAAGTGCCATATCTTGGCAGCGTCGTTTTTATGAAAAATAATTGCTTTAAGCAATGACACCGCCAAAATCTAAAGTATGGATATATTTTTACAAAATTACTGATACCATAGCAAAGTGCAAGGAATGCTTTAAAACCGTAAAGTTTTGTGGGAACCTTTAAAGGTTGAAATTGTTGTCTAATTAATGAATAAATATACATATCGTTACTAATGACGAAATATACATATCGACACCTTAGTGGAAGATCGATCTATCTCGGCAGCCAATTCGAAAACGCCGTATCTCAGAAAACTCTTCAAGAATGCCCTATTTCAGAAATTGATTGAAAGACGCCCTATCTCAGAAAACTTTTCCAGAACGCCCTATTTCATAATTTGGTTCAAAAACGTCCTATCTCAACTGAAAATATATTGAAAATATTTGGAGCCCAACTTCACTTATGCCCATTTCAACTTGACATTATAGCCTGTTTCTTATGAGAGCAAGTCAAAATCAATCACACTTTGTTGAATACCTTTTCAATTTCAATTTCGATTTATTCAGTCTATGATATGGGGTATCTTACAGACTACAGGCACATACACAATTTTCTTAAATCTAATGTATACGCAGATGAAAACCCTTTATGGAAAATTAAAACTAACAATACAGATCATCTATGGCTGACTTAAAAACAGATCTTTGTGATGAAAAATCAACATTTAATTGTGTGGAGATTGTATTATACTCTAAAAGCGCTCTGAATATTGGTGCATGAGAAAAATAATTAGCTGTGGCTACAGAAAGATAAAATGGTTTGTGAAATCGAAGAGCTTTGCTGGGTATATTAAAACTAATCAGCCCTAGAAGTTCGGAACAATCAATGACTCCATTAATTAGATCGTAAACAAACATTAGAGACTGGATTATTCTTCTATTCTCAAGTGATTTTAGGCTTATTAACATACAGCGAGCACTATATGAGGGCAGCAGCTCTTCAAATTTTATCGATTGAAGTGCAAAGCGAATGAACTTCCGTTGCACCCTTTCAATTCTAGTAGCATGGCAATTATAAATCGGATTCCATATAATAGCGGCATACTAAAGTTTTGAACGAACCGAAGTATTGTAGAGAAGTTTCCGGGTATACGGATCCTGGAAATCCTTTGAGTAGCGGCGCAGAAAAGCAAGGTTACTGTAAACCTTAGGAAGGACATAACATATGTGATTTCTGAACGAAAACCGATTATCGAATACAACTCCAAGATCAACAAAATCTTTAACTGAAATAAGTTGGTGGTTAAAAATAGTATAGCGCGATTGCCGAAACTCTGGAGCTTTAGAGATAGACATATGAAAACATTTGTCAATATTAAGTGAAAGTTTATTCCTGCGACTCCACTAATACTACGAAAAAACTTCAAATCATCAGCATAAAGTAAAAAATTCGAGTTTTTAAAACAGGCACCAATGTCATTTATGAACAGAATAAATAAAATTGCACCAAGAATGCTTCCTTGTGGGACACCCGAGGACGCAACAAAAGAAAACGACTTACAATTTTCAATTTCAAACAAACAACAATCGGTTCGAGAGATAAGATTTTAGCCAAGCCAAAAAAACAGAGTGGAAACCGATACATTCGAGTTTATGCAATAAAATTGCATGCGATACTCTATCAAAGGCTTTCGAGAAATCTGTATAAATGGTGTCTATTTGAAAACCACATTTGAATGCAGAGATACAGTATTGAGAGAAAACGGCTAAGTTNAAAAAATCAAAGGCTTTCGAGAAATCTGTATAAATGGTGTCTATTTGAAAACCACATTTGAATGCAGAGATACAGTATTGAGAGAAAACGGCTAAGTTACTGACAGTAGAACGCCCATTGACAAACCCATGTTGGTGCGGCTCTAAAATAGATTTTATAGCGAACGTAATTTTTTCTTTAATAACCTGTTCGCAAAGCTTTGAAAAGACTGTTAATTTAGATATTGGTCTATAATTCCTTATATCATTCCTACTGCCTGATTTAAAAATAGGGGTAATGGACGCGACCTTCCAACGATCTATAAACACACCAGTAGAAAGAGATAGATTAATGATGAAACGTAAAGGCGCACAAATAGAAAATTTACATTGCTTTAGAAAATAAGAGCAAAAACCATCAATATCATCTTTCAAAGAAGTCTTTAGGGCAGTTATACCATTCAGAATATCTATTTCAGAGACAGACAAATATCCAAAGTCCACTGATTGGGTAGAGTAGACGGGCGTGCAAATAGGGTCATCATCAGCTACAAAATTAAACTTGAAAAAAATCCGCAAAAAAATTTACAGACTCAGTGATTGTGAACACAATCCATTGAAATTTTTGCATGTTGGAATATTGGTACAACCTTTTTTGGAACGAACGTATTTCCAAAACGCTTTGGGGTTGTCTTTAAGTTCAGTTTCAAATCTACAAATGTATTGCTTGTATAAAAACTTATCAAGAACATTGAACTGATTCATATAATAAATGTATTTTTCTTTTAAAACTAAATTATTACTTTGAGCTTTAAATAATTTATAGTACTTGTTTCTTTGATTTTTTAACTTTTTAAGGTTTTTGTTATACCATGGTAATTTATGAATAGGAGGTGAGAGAACTGAAAGGTTCTTCGAAAAGACATCGTGAATTTCGCATATAAAACTTTCAAAACAATCAGCTAAATCACTGGTGTTAAGAACGGAGTCCCAATTTATATTGGTTGTCGGTAGTGTCGCTATATGATTTTACTGTTTGTTTTCGTTAATTTCTGAATTAGCAGAGCAGTGACAGTCACTATAAGAATTATATGAATTATGAGCAGCAGCAGCGAGCGAAGCAATAGCACCAGCAGACAAGGAGCATGAAGATGACGATTTTACTTGTTTGTTTTCGTCAATTTCCGAATTTGAATTTTGAGCAAGGCAGCTAATAACAACACGACGCAAACCTTTGATTTCCGATAGCAGGAGAGACAATGTAGCATCTTTAGCATCAAGTTTAGTGTGCAGTTCACGAATCTCCGCTTGAAGAGTGTCAGACTTTTGCAATAAACACTTATTTTCTTCATGAAGCGCACTGACAGCAGACATAAGGCGAGCATTAACCGCTTTAATTTCGGCCAGCTCTTCGGCCACAGTAGATAACCTTTGTTGTTTAACTACATTTCCATTAGTTTTTATTTTGGTGCTCGTCACTCGTATCCACAGCCGCAGGTGGTGGAGGAGAACGAATTGACTTACGGCGCACATCCAAACAAACATTACAAAAAAACGGCTTATCTATGCTCAGCAAATAGTCAAGATCAGCCTGTTGAATGCCGACGCATTTGAGATGAAAAAACTCTATGCACTTAGAGCACTGCACTTTAGATTCAGGGCGCTCAACCTTCTGCCCCCAAACACAAGGCATATTAAATGGATTTCCAAAAATTTATTCACTTAAATAAATCCAATTTTAATAAAAGAGTCACTGTCTCAGATTGTTCAATATGCACCATGCTAATGATTAGCAAATAAATAACTAGGTATATGATTTTAATCAAAGAAAATTGGAGAGCGAATAGAAACACGACTGCTCGGCGCGAACACTTTTGGCTATGTTCATCACAATTATTTGTTTAAGAGGAAGAGAGAGAGAGACGACTTTTAAGGGATAATTCCAGTCTCCTAGAGCTACCGTGTGCACTGTAAGCAAAAGTTAATCCTTTCAAGGTTTTTCTTTTATTATCGTTGTGTGTTCATTTTAGAAGCATATTGAGGCTTCCAAAAGAAGCTGTGGGTACTCTTTAGTACGTTGCCTAATTCTTTCGTGGTATTGCGTCCAAAGAGGTGACCCGATCCAAAAAAAAAATTTCACACACTTGTAGTCAAGGGTCTACACATTATTTTAACACCCACTTTTGTAATTTTTGGTCACTAATTTATTTACAAATTGGGTTTGAAATATAAGCAGCCACTTCACCAATATATTTTTATATTCCCCATCACTTTACACTTCACTCGATTAGTTATAACTTTCTTTATGACTATTTATTAAATAAAACACTTTAAAATCCCGCGTCTGACTTTGGTAGCATATGCAAATTAAATGGCGGAGTTCAGCTGTCAAACTCCAAAATATGCAAAAGATTTGTTGATATACTTTCGTTACGTGCGGACGTGTTTTTGATCGGTCTCTGTGTGCTAAAACTGTTAAGCTGTTTACTTTTTTATGCCTATGGCTTTCTAAACTTTGTGATTTGAAGTTCGTGAGATAGTGACTCTTATCAAATCTATTAGTTCTAATTAAAAAAATGCCGTGTCTATGTGGGCAAAAAGTCGAGCGATCGCAGCAGCATAAAATTCAATGTGTTAATTGCAATGATTTTTTTCATCTGTCTTGTGTAAATATTCTACCAGCCGACGCTGAGTTTCTGCGTAATACAGACAAGCCTTTCCACTGCAAAGANAAATATTCTACCAGCCGACGCTGAGTTTCTGCGTAATACAGACAAGCCTTTCCACTGCAAAGAATGCGCTGTTGATCG